AAACTTATAATTTATGTATCTACCAGTTCATGGGCGGCCCTTCCAAAATATTTTAATTAATTTTTCTCAGTCAGACCAACAATTCAATATAAAAATAATTTTTATTCATTGTATTTTCTATTTCAATTTCACATTATCTTAAAGTTCTTTGGGCTTCTCTGAGAACCTAAATTCTACTTACAGCACTATTTCATGGTAAAATTATTTCCTTAGTCTATAAAACTAATGATACAGAATTTTTTGTAGATAAGCTTTTGATAAGTGATTGTTCTTTTCCTCTAGCTATGATCTCTCCCTTCTCGTGAACCTTAAAAACACTAGTGGCCAAATTACTCCAGGAAACCAGACAAAAGTTGTATTTCTAGTAATGGCAATAATATTCATTTACTAATACTCTGAATAATTGGGTAACATGTCTTCAGTGCAATGTAATTTCAAACTAATCATTATAAGTAGCTATCATTATCATATTATATATGTTGGGATGTTGAGGCTCAGGTAGATCACAAAAATTCTTCAAGCTAAAATGTCTAAAATGGCACAAAAGAAATCTAAACCCAATAATTTCAATGCATTCCCCACCAGATGTGCACTGACTTTAAAAAGTTGTGATTAATGAAACTGTGGCCTTGGCATTTCTAATTCCCTCATTATTTTGCATATGTTCAGTTTCTATCATATTACATAATGTCTCACAGCAACCAGAACTGCTCCTTTCCTTCTTATGAATTCTTATTTACCCGTAATATAAAAATATTATCTAGCCATATGTCAGCCCTGGAATGAGCTTCATAGAAGAGTATATAAGACTTTTATTCAGAGAAAATTTTCTACATTTAAAACATTATAGAACCTAAAGGAAAATGTACAAATATTTAAGAAATAAAAATAAATTTTTATAATTTAGCTATTACATGAAATTGATATAATGCATCTTTTTACATTTAACAACATTTTTTAGCACATTCTTAAAGCATCAAAGTCAAATGCAAGTTTCCTTAATCTTAAGTATTTTTTCATGTTATCTTAAAAACTTGTAAAACATTCAAATTATAGCATAATTTGTGATCTGCTGATATATTACGAATTCTAAGGAAAATACATTTTTTCATATTTCACTACAGTCTACTTCTTTGTGCTTGTCTAAATTACATTATAGAGGACTATATGAAGAATATTTTCTGAATGTTCAAAGAAAGCAAAATATAAGATGTTTGATCCATTACATGGTACAGTTACATGGTAAATGCCCAACCATTCCTACCTTAAAGAATCCATGAAACAGAATAAGAAAACTGTTGTACTCTTTAATTACCATATAAAGAGTACAATAATGTTATAGAAAAATTTACCTTCGTTTCCTTTTTTTTAGTCCAACCACCCTACAAGCCTATGTATTGCTGCCATGCATATCCTGAGTTGGTCTTTCTTCCTCACTTTGCTGACCTATATGTCAATAATTGTCCAAGGTGCTTCTTTCTACACCCAAGTTGATGCATTAAAACTAAAAGTTACATAATAAAAGCCACAATACAAGAACACCGTACACATGCAACTTAACTGGTGATTGTTGTAATCAGTCATTCTTTATTATTCTTATTAAATTGGGTATTGGCATTTAGATAACTTTGTCCTTTTGTAATTGTTTCTGAGCTATAGCCATTTATAATCTATATTTAGAAATATCATCATAATGAAATAATACTAATTACACTGAGTGTCCAAAATTATTTTCTTAAGAAAAGAAAGAGCCATGTGATACTTAAGGAAAATAATTTTTACTTTTGGGGCTGGGGATTTAGCTCAGTGGTTCTGTCACCTGCCTCACAAGTTCAAGGGCTGGAGTTCAATAGCCAGTACAAAAAAAAAAATCATTATAAAAAAATTCTACTTTTGTGAACAAGAGATAAAAATGGTGAAAAAGAAAAAAAAGCACTTTTATAGCTCTTAAACAATTGAACTAAAATATTTCTATTTTTATTTTTAATCATTGTATTTAAGCTAAAGAGCTCTCCTGAACAGACTTTCATTCCATACTAAGTGGAAGGAAACATCTTTTTATGTAAATCAATAAGCGATTCTAAAATAAAAATCTGCATGTGTCAATTGGTTTTTAAATAAGGTGCAAAAATATATTTCTCTTTTAAGAGTACATACCCTCTATTATGTAAAGTAAAAAGTAAATTTTGTAATAGAATAAAAGGAAAATTTTTCTCTTTTAGAAGTAAGGTCTATTACTTTCATCAAATTCTAATAAAAATAATCATTCCATATTTAAATACAAATCCCAAACAGATCTTATTTTTATTAACTTGTCTTACACACATTTCTGGAATTGAGAGATGACCACCACTTGTTTTTTGTTGCTCATGTAAGGAAACTTACCTCTCACTGTAATCATACCAGTCAAAGTTTTATATTCATCACCATCATTTTTTTTTTTTGGTGGGTTTGGATTGATAAAATTACCAGATTCATTTGATTATCAGAGTCATTTTTATTTAAATTTTTGTCTGTATTTTTATTTTCTTCTATTGGTTGCAATTTATTTTTGACTGCCTATATACTTATTTTATTTTCTAAAGAAAATATTGCATTTATTAAGAAGCCTGTTATCTAGACTTTACTATAAACTTCTGTATATTTTCTTTCATGATGGCAGATTGTGTTTTAGGAGACTATACCGGATTAGCTCATCATAGGCCCTCATTCAAGATGGATGATTTGATATCTGAAGGAGAAAGAAGACCTTTACTCCATTTACTGAATGATACCCCACCTGGAAAATAAAAGAATTAGGGATAAAGTTCCAAATAGTTTCCTTATCTGGACCTTTGGGTAATTATACTAGTGACATTTACAAGGATGGTAATCTATAGAATGCTTTTAAAAACATACCCTTAGGTAAAGATAACCTACTGTAAGTAGGTACTGTAAGTATTTTAACACTCTGAAGTGTAAAAGAAAGGTATTTCATAATTTTAGTCCTTTTTGTTGTGTGAAGCAACCCTACAGAGATGACCTCATGTGGGTACATTCACAGTCATGCTGGTCCAGAATTGCATAAGTGGCACAGAACAGTAAGGGATTGTTTCAGACATCTCAGACTTCTGCTTCACCTATGCCTCTGATTTGTCCTTAATCTTGAAATTATTAAAATTTGTAGCATCTTCTGATATTAGGTAAGATTAAAGTCTCTCAATTGTATGAGTTTAATTTGACCATATTAGAAATGAATCTTATAAAATAATTATCTCAGGAATTATCATTATATCACGAATCCCTTAAGAAAGAAAATTTCTTTTTATTCCAAATAATAACAGGCCTTAACAAAAATATGAAATCTGAAAAAGTTGTATCATCACATTTTTATTATTTAAATTCTATCTTGTATTATGTCAGATTTGGTTCTCTCTCACCACCCCTTTCCTAGAAATAAAAGAAAAGAAGAAAAAAGGAAAAGTCAACAAATTAGATTATTTTTTCAGTATTGGGGATTGATCTCAGTAGACATGCACATTAGTCAAGCATTCTACACTGTGCTACATAGCCAGCTCCAGAAGTATTTTAGTATAAAAAATTGCTTGAGTTTTAATAAGACATATTATAAAACTAACATTTATAATTACTTTTAATTTATCACAATTAAATAATTATCTAGAATTTAAAATAACATAAGCTTAATTGTATCTACCTAAATCACATAATTCCTTTTAATTGTGGTTTCCTAAATAATTGAGGGAAAAAGTGTGCAATTTATCATAAAGAGTGATGCAAAACCACATCTAAGTTTTATTCAAAATTTAACAAAAATATTTTATTTATCTCCTATACACTTAAACATAGTAGAATAAATAAATTTTACTAGTGAGAACAGTTCTACACACCAATACTCTCTGGCTTATTAACTCTAGGATTGGCAGAATTTATCATATGAAGTAACATATAATGAGCAAAAACTTTGTTTATAGAAAAATAACATCCTTAACTGAATTTTCACAAAACTACCACCTGCATATTTATTAATGCTAGCATTTTTGCAGGTTGAAATTCAAGAATATCTATTTTCACAGCCATACCTGTGCACACTAAAAAAAAACATTTCAGTGTGTCAGGGTAGATGTTAAGGATGTTAATAAACATCTCTACTTTAAATGTGCTTCTTTATATTAGTTGCTTTAATTTCATTACAAAAAATTTCATACGTTTGCTCATTTATATTATGGAACAAATACACATTATAAACATAGAAATTGACTTGATAAATCTAATGATTGTTAGACATACTTCTTTCATATTCAGATCACGATTTTTTTGTTGGAAAGGGGATATTATAACCTCACCTAAAATCGCTGACCGCAAGTTACTTTCCAAACTAGACTTTTTAAACAGAATCGTGCTCCAGCCAACATTAAAATATTAAATACGCATCAGAATTTCTTAGTCAGAATTGACATGATACTGTTATTGTTAATTGTTAATGAGGATGATAATAATGATGGCTACTTTATTGAGAAGACATATTCAAGTAATTTGTTGTCCAAAAGCTGATTAATACTATATCAGAAAGTAGTGATTATCTCTAGCTCTCTTTTCTAGGTTCTTTCCTAACTTGCATATGCCAATCAATTCAAATAATCTTGATTACTAGACTTACACAGCAGAAGCCAATAAACACATAACTACAAATGATAAATCAGTGAAATCATATCATACAGCCTTTCACCTCACATTCAGCTTTGTTAATAACCACTCAAAGTCAATAAAGCCCAAATCTTTCCCTGTTTTTCCCAGTGATGACATCTCATGCAAAATGGATCCCATAACCTGTTATAATTATCCTGGAGATAGGATGCTGGCATGCACACACACGTGTGTGTGGTGTGTGTGTGTATGTGTATATACATATGGATAAGAGTGTGTGTGTGTGTTTGTGTGTGTGTGTATGGATAGAATCTCACCTTTTTTCTCCTTTTTCTTCATCTGCTACCACACTTACCATTAGATATCTGTAATGATATGTTTTGATTTTGCTTGTTTGCTTCATAATTCTATTAGATCATACTACATTCAGTAAGTACACCCAAATGCTTTATCTCTCTGGAGTTGGGGATCCATCACATTTAACCACTCTCTTCATAAAGCTCTCAGTAATCACCCTGCAACACATTAAAGGATCTTCTTTTCATCTATTTATTGTACATTAACACCAACTCTCGTTAGTTCTTCCTGTTCTAGAATTCTCCTTACAATTCCCACATTTATATACTGTACATAATACTCGTCACTGTATATATTATAGTAGGCTGAAAAATGGCTTCCCTAAATATATTCATGACCTTAAATTAAATATTTTGGAATTGCAAATAATCGTGGGTTATATAACCACAGCCAATATGTAATCAGAATGATCTACGAGAGGAAATCAAGTCAGAAACTCAGAGAGTAAGATGTTACAATGGAAGTAAGAGGTTGAAGAGAGATGAGAAAGTAGGCACAAGCCAGGAAATATATGCTCATGATAAAAGGAGAAGCACACTGTTCTCTTCTGACCTCTAGATGGAACCATTTCTAACTACACCTTGACATTAGTTCAGTGAGATTGGGTGTGGGGGGGTCTTGGGGATTGTATTGGGTGCCTCAGACATGCTAGGCAAGTGGTCTGTAACTGATTTAGTATCCTTAGGCTCTCACAAATGTGATACATTACATTTTGCAGAGAGGTGCTCTGACAAAAGACGATGACCTATGAAATAGAAATAAAGTATTTTTTAAATCTATTCTTCCAGTACAGGAAATTGAACCCAGGACCTTCATTCATACTTAGGTTGTTTATTTATTTATTTATTAGTTTTTGAGATAAGGTTTCTAAGTCATTATGTTGCCGAGGCTGGGTTCAAGCTTGTAATTCTCCAGCTCAGTCTTCCATAGTGCTGAGATTATGGGTCTGCTCCACCATACCCAGCTCCTCCTTCCCCCTTTGATGCATCCATTGTTTTCAGTCTATGGGTTAGGGGTCTAACTCTCAGGAAAACATGTTATGTTGCAATAACAAAAAACTCACAAATCTCATTGAGTTAAGATAATTGAGGCTTATTTGTCGATATGTATGCCTATCACAAAATAGCGGGATCTAATATACATCATGGATACTAAGAAACTCAGGGAAAAAGCTATTATTTCAAACATTGTTTGCACTACAAAAGGTAGCAAATCTGAAGAGTTTCAATTTAATACTTCAATTTGAGAGTGGCACCAAAACCACACTTCTGTTTTTTGGGTTTGAAAATAATTCTATTGTATGAAGTTGTCCTTCAATATGGGATAATTACATTATGCTCTGAGCCTCCTGAGAGCAATCCCCAAATACTATTGGTGAGTGAGAAAGACAACTATTAAACAGTTTGATGAAGAACGTGGTTGAAGAGCTCAGTAGATGAAGCTGAGCTCAGTAGTAGCACCTCAGGGAAGAATTAATTTAGCAAAGACAAAATAAATGCATTAGAAAATGTAAGGAATTTAAGCAAGGTGTATTCTTTTGGTTACCAAATTAAACTTGATGTTAAAATAATTTCACAAACCACTCATGAAAAGTAAAGTTGGTAATATTGACCAACAATTAACTAAAATATGTCTATGCTGAAAGAACTTCTGTAATGAACACAAAGTTTTTCAGCAGGGTATAGTTAGGGAAATAGAAGAAAGATTTATAATCCTTAACCATAAATATTTTACATTGTATTGGAAAGAACATTATCCCAGTTGACTCAAATTTGGCTTCCAGGCCCCTTTTAATCATGAACTGTACAGACAAGAATGTATAATATGACAGTCTGAAGTTGGTTTACATATCTGTGTAATACAAGATGAATAAGTTAAGAGTCAGAAAACTAAAGTCTCACTAAGATCAAATATGTCCCATAGTTGACCTGCTATTTTACTTATAATTCTTAGGCTAAGAATACTTTAAAAAATATTTTAAAAATTAAAGAAGGAGGAAGAAGAAGGAAAGAAGAAGGGGAGGAAAAAGAAAAGAATAAGCAACATAAATTATATATGATTTTAACATATTTTCAATTCAACCTTCAATATTTACTGTTTGACTCCTACTTTTCTGATACTGGTGTAGATCAGCACAACTGGAAATACAACGTGGGCTAGAATCAGCCACACATGTAGTAAACTTTCTAGAAGCTCTATTTTATAAAGAAAGAAATATGTAATGTTAATTTAGTAATTTAGCTTAATAAATCCAATATTATAATTTCAACATATTATCTACTAAAATATTAAGAAGATACTTTCATTCTTTTGGTTCTTTCGTATTGAGCCAAGAAAGCTGTTATATACTTTATATTCATAGTGTATTTAAATTTGGACTGGCACCTTTCAAGTGCTCGATGGTCAAGTGAACCTCTTAATGACATCTGAGATTTCTTCTATGTCTAAAGATTCATAATACTATAGATATAAATTATAGACAAGAAAAACAAGCAATTAGACATCATGTATTTCTCCCTGATTATCGAATCCAGATGATTTCAATATCAGTTGTAACTGAAAATTTTATAGCAACACAGCCTGGCACTGAACACTAGCAGGCTTTTTAATTCAGCTGTCAGCAGAGGGAAGTTGCAAAGAGCTATGGTTCATCATGCGTGGCCTTAGTGTCCTCTTCGGAGCTCAGGAGCAGTGTTTGAGTGGTGAAAGCCACATAGCAGGTATAATTTTTTTAAAAGTAAATAATAATTCCAGCATAAAAAGAGCTTAGAAGTTATGAGTTTACTTTACAATAAGAAAAATGGTGAGAAAATGGAAAATCAATAACCTTTTCTAACTTTAGAAAATGAAGATGCTAAGGAATACTGACACTTTGAAATCTGGAGAGAGAGTCAAATGCATAGAGGCACAGCTGAGGTCTGCTTATATATAACAGAAACTGCAGGAATCATAAACTGGTAGTGCCGCTTACATGGTAATTTTGACAAATTGCTGAAAGCTGAGTGTGATGTAGAATAAGAACTAGAAACTTCTACAGGCTTAGGCAGGGAATGTCTGCTGTTAAGAGTTCTGCCTCAAAGAACCTATCAAGGTCATCATGTTGAAAAATAAAAAAGTCACAAAATTAATTCGCCAATATATGAGCCTTTAGAACTATCTAGTCAACTTTCCATTACTATAATGAGACACCTGAGACAATTGACTTATAGTCAAAGTTTATTTTGGTTCGTGGATTTAGAAATTTCAACTTATTACCAATTGACCTCATAACTTTGGGCCTGTGACAAGGCAGCACATGATGGTACAAGCACATGGTAGAACAACAGCAACAACAACAAAAAGCCAAAAACAAAAAACAAACAAAAATTTTAAAAAAATGCTGAACTATTGACCTAGTAAGTAGAAGGTAAGAGAGATGGAATAGCCTGAGTCCCACAATCCTGTTCAAGGGCACAGTCTCAATGACCCAAGGCTCTCTCACTGGACTTCACATTGTAATGGTTCAACCCACCTCCCAAAACTATTGCAGTGGAGACCAGGATTGTAAAACATGGACCTTCTGGAGACACTTGTCTAACCATCACAGTTCCTTTATATGACTGTACTTCAGAAGAATACTGATACTGTTTTTCATATTAAAAAAAAACTCTGTCATTCTCCCATAAATTTATGACAAATGTTTATATATTCTAAATGCCAATCTGAAATCACATAGGTAATTTGCAAAAATTTCCCATATTTTAGCAACTTTCAGAGACCCAAAATTGTTAATTGTGATGAAGTTTAATGTGTCAAGTATTTCATCTTTTTGAACTCCTGTGTGGGACATACCTAAGAAACATTGTCTAATTCAAGTTCATAAATTTTATATTCTCTGTTTTTTTTCCTTAAAGTTTTAAGATATTGGGTATATATTTGTCTATTACCCATTTTAAGGGCCCTGATCCATACATGTTGCTTATTATGGCTTGGAGTTCATGATTTTTTTATATAGTTTTCAAATTCTTTCATTGTCATTTGTTAAAATACACGTTTCACTGAATTCCTTTTGGGGCAATCTCCAAATTTAATTTCCCTAAGTTTGTCCTTTCTTGAAGGTATTATGGGTATTCTAGGTCCTTTAAATTCATATAAATTATAGAAAGTTTGACAATTTCTACCGAAAAAGCATACTAATATTTTGATGGGAATTTCTGGGAGGCTACAAATGAATTTGAGGAAAACTCACCTAATAATATAGAAACTTTCAATTAGTGAACATTATTATTATTTCATTTATTTAACCCTCCTTTAATTCATCTCAGTATATGTCCTTGGGCATGGTCATAACTTGCATCTGCTTTAAATAGATTGCTAATTTTAACATCTGCATCATCTTGAGAATAGCCTTTAAAAATATTTTATTCACATTTTCTTAAATCTTTCAACACAATAAATTCTACAATGTATTCTCAATGATATAATGACATACAACACGGGCTTTCTATTTTCTTAAAAACTCCTTATTTTGTTGTACAGAAAATAAGTAAAATGGAAAAGACTGAAACTTCAAGACTTGAACTACAAAATTTATCTTACCAGTAGTAGGCAGCAAGACAATATTTATTTTGTTGTAGCAGGTTTTCTTGAAGTCTTTCTTACACGAACATCACTTGGAGTCAGTCTAAGATTTGGGCAAATACTTTTTTAAATGAAATTTAGTGTTCAAAGTTATAGCTTTCTTTTTCTGTGATTTAATTTTCCACTATAGTTTTTATCCCATTCTCTGTCTATTTGTTATTCAAAGCAGTAAGTTAAGTTTACTTTCCAGTACAAGAATTTAAACAGTTCTCACAATTTATTTTCTTTTATTCCAAGGATGATTTGACATCTGATTTTCACTTACTTTTAAGTGTTTTCATATGCTTGTTGTGTATATCATAAATGGTTTAGTGTCTTATTCCTACATTATCAGAATCTAGCTAGCAATTTGTCTTGAAACTGAGAATAAAGTAAATTACATTGATAAAGTTTGCAAATTTGAAGTATCTTTTAATAACTAAGCAACTATATGATAGTAAAAATACATTATTAATTGAATTAGTACAAAATATATTTCATCTGTGAATTATTCATGATGTTTTCATGAATGCTATAAATTGATATTTGTCTCTGCCTTTTTTTTGAGCTATTCTTAATGTATTCTAGTTGTTTTAATGCATTATAAGTATTTTTCCAGCTTTGTTTCTGTCTTTAGAACTGTTTCTAAGATTCAAATGATTATTCCTTGATATGTGGTTAAAGTCAAACTCTAAATTCTTATTGGTGTTTAATTGAATAAATATTTAATATCTACTTTCTGCTGTTACAATTGTTTTTTCTAGTTTTCTATTTTTTCCTCAGTTTGTTGTTGCCAATTAGATTTACCTAGAAAATTGTTTTATTCAGTTAATTTTTAATGTGTATAAAGCAGTTGAAACTTTTTCAAAAATTTTAAATGTTATTACTATAATGACATGATTATTCTCAATATTGCTAATTTCTGCCTTTTACACTTTATGAAGATAATTGGTAAAAATTTTGTTTGCCTTCTAAAACAAGTATTTTTAAATTATTTAACTATAGTATTCATGGATTTTTCAGTCATTTTTTATTCTTTACTCCTTTGATATCTTTTTCAGTTTATTGATTTCATTATATGTACTTTCTCTTAAGAAACTGTGATTTTTTTTCTTCATTTTTACATTAAGGACTATTTTCTTCTTTCTTAGCTTTAAATCATTAAATTTCAATGGGTTTTTTTTTTTTTACTCTTTTATGTTCCTGTTTCATTGAGAAAACTTTTATTGTGATATATTGCAAGAAAATATTTTTTTCTCTGATATAATTTGCTAAACAACAAATATTTAGAATTATGATTTATTAAAAAGACTACATTGATTATTTGTATTTTATATTCTTGTCTAATATATATGAAAGTATGTCATTAGTTTTACCCATTTGAAAATATATTGCCTTTAGTCTCATAGAGATATATTTCCTAGAGGCCTCAGCATTTTAAAAATTACAAAATGTTGAGTTTTTGAGGAAATCATTCTTGGGAGGATTGAACTCATCATAGTGAAGACCAAGTTGAACTGTTGATGATCAGTATAATCAATGACTGACTTTAACCAAAAAGTTAAAATATTTTGATATTCTCCTAGACACATTGAATATTTTATGTAATCAGCTATTTTCCTCTGTAAACTTTATTGTGAAACTCTATATATTTTTGCAAAGTCAAATTTTTCCAGAAATGATTTTAATGTTTTTGAGGTAGAACATACTTTCTCCATAAATACAATGTGTCAAGAAAAATTATTTAGATTCAGCTAATTGGAAGGTTTTGGCTTTTTAAAGTTTTTTAAAAAGTGAACATTACTACTCCTGAGAAAGTAGCATATTGAGATTAAATTTAAAGTGCTTTAAATTTTTGTTCTCTGGTATCATTCAAACTCATTTAAAATATATCACAAGGTCGGGCGTGGTGGTGCACGCCTGTAATCCCAGCGCTCAGGAGGCTGAGGCAGGAGGATTGCTGTGAGTTTGAGACCAGCTTGGGCTACATAGTGAGTTCCAGGTCCTTCTCAACTACATAGTGAGACCCTGTCTCAAATCCCCCCCAAAAAACAAAAACAAAAACAAAAACAAAATAAAATATATCACAGATTCATAATGCAAATGTTCCTGCCAACTTGCATATATCCAAATACATGTGATGCCAAAATTATGGAACCTGACAAAGAATAAAGCTTTGGACTATCTATACTCCATTTCATGAAGTAGGTTCATGATGATGCTCATTTTCACCTCTGATTACTAATTGCTGCCCTCGTACACAGACCTGTGGCTCAATCACAAAATAAATGAGTATAACCATAAAATTATATAACTTTATGTGTGATTCATTTGAGGTGAATTATTACATTAGTACTATCACCCAGATTCTATCTTTGCCAGTCAAATTATATTATATTCTGTAAATATTATATATGGCCCTACAGATTCTGGGAGTGACAGGCTCAGAAAAATACTTATGGAAGTGTGAGATGCATGCAAAGGTGGACAGCAATGCTGAGGCATTCTAAATTTCCTGAAGTTCCATTCAATTATTTAATTCAATTACTTTGTGCCTCTGCTATTATTGTAAAGTATAATCTGCCTTCCTTTAGCT